AGTAGAACAATAATCAATAAAATCAATAATTTGAACCTCAAAGTGGTAACCCTTACGCGTGCAATGTTTTCCATCTCCAGTTAATCCAGCATCACACTTGCATTCATATCCTCCTGGTGTATTTACACATTCTGCTCGACGATCACATACACCTTCTTGACGGCATTCGTCGATATCCACGCATTCACCATCTACGTATTTGTAACCATCCGAACAACGATCCACACATTTAAATCCACCGATCTGAAACATTTCCGCTACTCGTAGAAGATGAAATTTCAATCCTTTTGCTCATCACGGCTTTCTAGCTGTCACAAGAATTCAAATTGCTCTTGGTATGGCCCCGTGATTCGCGAAAAACTGGGCTAACTCTATTGCGTTCGAAGAGCAAATAATCTCGTATAATCGCATTAGCTCAAGCGTTCCTTTTACGTCCTTCAAAGTCAGCCAGAAATCAATATTATTGAAACACAGGCTTCTATTTGTATTGGAAGTGAGAAGTTAATCAGAACATCAAATTCGAATATTCGCATGCTTACAGTGGTTCTGAATTTTTCGACTTGTTGATTATATGTTTTATTGACAAATCTTAGACAAGTTCGCTTTATCATTTACAGCAGTGCTCGCGCACTACCAAACAGGTATTTATCTGCATGCAATGTTTATTCGAATATTCGATAAATGGAAAAAATTATATTACCATTTTTGAAACCAACTAGTACACAAGAAAAGCCACCCGTGCTTGAAGGTTTGAGTAACAAAATCAACATATCGATTACTGACCGTATTCTGGCACATCTGACTTGCTCCACAATTGTGAAGATTCATTTCGCATTCGTTGATATCAGCACATTTTTCTAATGGAAGGCCCTGGAATTTGTTGATCAATAGGCATCAAAAGCTTGAGATACGGAAACTGCCTAGTTAGCACAACCTTAGGAGCGAATCCTTCTGTACAGTTACAGAAGTATGTTCCGGGTAAATTGACGCAAACTGAGTGTTCGGGGCAACTGTAGCTGCTCATTGAGCATTCATCAATATCTGAAATGGG